GCTACGGCGCCCCCTCTCTTTGGGGCTCGCCGTGCCCACTTCAGGCTTCTCAATAAACCAATATGGCACTCCCCTGCTTTGGGGCTTGCCGTGCCCACCTCGGGCTTCTCAATACTGCCCCACTCTGGGGCTGGGGTCTATGTACCCCGCATACAACCTGGGGTCTGTTCCCCACCCGCAACCCACTGGTTGCGCTAGTGCCCTCTTCTGGGGCTCGTCATGCCCCCTCTGGGGCAATATGGCACTCTCCTTCTTTGGGGCTTGCCATGCCCGCCTCGGGCTTCTCAATACTGCCCCACTCTGGGGCTGGGGTCTATGTACCCTGCATACAACCCGGGGTCTGTTCCCTGCCCGCAACCCACTGGTTGCGCTCAGGGGCCCCACACCTCTGGGGTCCCCATGAGGCCTCCTCCAACCCCTACAGCCTCACCCAAGCCTCCGGTGTCGTATCAAAGCCAAACATAAACTCAAGCCTCCTGGCTACAACTAAAACCTATGGCACCTAGCCACTACACAGTAAGCTGCCTGGCTATAACTTAGCACCATTACTCCAACCTTCGGAGCACTCATGAGCTGTACTGGCCATCGGACTTCTACCCATCTCTCAGCCGAGGGAGCTCCTGCCTCTCTGGTTGCTGGCAGGGAACTGGCAGCCTAGTCTCAGCCCTGGGCTTTATAAGGGCCAGGCCCTGCCTCCTACAGGCAGCTGGCTCTCCTTAGTTGCCCCGGCAACCCGCAGCTGGGCTCGTTATGACCTGCCAGGGCTCGCTCTCTCTCCCTGGCAGTCTCTCCTCTCTAGGAGCAGAGCACCGAGGTGCTCTGCGACACACCGACCAACACAAAAACCCATCACCTTTTGAGAGAACTAGGAAAGGAAAGATTCTGACCTACTGCATGCTTGGGAGACAATCCCTACCCACCTGCTTTCCAGTACATAGCAGTACAGAGTATGACTGCATCCTTAATACGGACCTGGGAAGCCAATGTTACAAGAAAGGAAATATAGCAGCAGCAATGTAAAGTAAAAAATGAAGTAAAAAAGGAAAAAAAGAAAAAGGAAAAAAGGAAGTAAAAAAGGAAAAAAAAGATAAGAAAGGGAGATGGGAGAGGAAAAGTACGAAGAGGTTCCCCGTGGATACTTCCATATTTATTTGGAAGCTCAGGGAGTGCAATGGCATTGCTTTCATGTTGGCTTCAATTAATCTGAGTGAATCATATTAATTGTGGTTCCATGAAAAACCCCTGTTTTTAGGATCAAATCTGCTACTCGACAGAGCACACTGCAAAAGATGACAAATGATGCTTAAGTCAAATACTGGCTGTTTCAGGTCCTTCCTGTTATCAGGGATGGAAATTGATATATTTCACCCCCCACCCCAACTCATTCACATTATATGACTTCCAAGGCCACTTGCCTCATTCACTTCCCTACCTCAAATTGAATATACAACGGAGAACACAGATTACAAAGATGGAAATCTTTTTCCGGGGCTCGTAATTCCAAGGTAAATAGAGTACATTTTCCTGAATGGCTGTATGACTGTTTCCAAGTCAGCCTCTTGCTCATGAGTGATAAAATATACAATCTTTTTTCATGCTTTCAGGCTGAACTTGCTACCCTGAACTGCATATGGAGCACAGCTACATACCATGAACTCACAACAAAAATGAGAGTACTGGTAATACCACAGTATAATACGCCTGTTACTGTTTCATGACTGCTATCATTTATCAGCTTGTCACACTGAAAAAGTTTTCTCCCTTTTGTGTAAGGTCAAATGGAGTAGGTAAGAAAAAATACCTCTGAGATCTATAAGAATGTACCCAACTAAATACTATGAGGTATTTAAAACTATGTTGGATGTACTGCTGAGTAGTACACAAATAAATAATATGCATGAGGTTTTGGAGTCTGGACTAAGTTCCCTAAGATAGTTTTAACTCTCATGTATATGGTCTTATTTTACCATCTTTACGCTTGTTGAGTGGTACCTTGTTGTCTTGAGAAAAGGATTCAGAATGTGACCCTCGGATATAGGACCAGATTAGGAAGTGACAACTATGCTAACTGCAGTGTGGCTGCAGCATTTTTCCACCATATCTGTTGCAAATAAAAAACTGCTAATAAATTCAAACTCCTGCACTTATGGCAAAACATTATTCAGAATGATAGCCTTTGCTTCCCTGGTACCACCCTTTTGTATAGCAAATATTGGAACACCCCGAGGAAAGTTTTAGCCATACCCCTTGTCCTGTTGTCTCAATGTTCTGACACCAGGGTTATTGCTGCTGAATGAATCCATTCTGGATTCATTTAATCACTATCTTGATTAATATGGATTATTTAATCACATTAATTGATAATCATTATTACAGTGCAGCTCTGAGGCTCTAACTGAGGCTCCATTTTGGTCAGCACCACAGAAATATGCATTAAAAAGATAGCTATTGCCCTTACAGTTTTGGTCAATGGTGTATGCAAGAGCAGGTGAAGGGAGGATCCAGGAACAATAGTTCAAACATGTTCACAGAAACTAACCTCTGAGTATATTTTAAACTGGGGAACAATAGCTGCTGCAGAAAGTAATTCGGTGTGATTCCTTTTAACACATGAAGAGCCCATCAACGAATGGAATACAGTGAAGAGCTGCAGTGCTACAGCCATTTGCAAGTAAGCAGACAGTTATGAAAAATGCTCACTCTGCTATTTTTTTTTTTTACTGTCTTTCATTTTGGACTCAGCCTCTCTACTAGTTCTGCAGAAGGATTAAGCAAAGTATATCAGACCTAAATTCACGCTATCTTGGAATAATATGTGAACCAAATAAGTTAGATGCACTGGGCTGGCTCATTGGTCACTCCACAGCTACCATCAGTGCAACTGCTATGTGAGCAAACGTGGCTTTAATTTGCCTCTACATCTTGACTGGTTTCTGCTCAATGATCAGCTCTTGCCTGGCTGTCTGGTCATATAAACAGCTGGGGATCCCTGGGGATGTCCTCTATTCTGTTCAGGTTCTTATCCTGTAGTGTCCTCTACTTGTAGTACCTGGGTACCTGACCTTAGTGGCTAAGGTGAAGGCCTGGAGAGGGTGTGCACAGAAGTACTATGCTATCTGGAGATTCCTCTGAAAGTCTGTCATGCTGCTAAGCCAGACTTACATGGAAAAATACAAACCAGCTGGAAAGTGGTTGGGGGAGGAGGATAATCTCTCTCTCTTTCTAGGAGTCAAAAGCAGCCTGAACGTCCACAACCTTGTTATTGCAAAGCAACTTCAATGAGTTGCTAGAGATTAATAAAACAATGCTCAGGTGCTCTGGAAAAAAGAAAGTGTAATTGTTGGATTTGAAAAAGGCACTGGGAAGAACAGTCAAAAGCACTCCTTGGTAGCTGGTTGAACCTGACCCTTAGATCTTCTGCTAACAGCTGCATGAAGCAGAGACAACTGGAATTAACGCTGTTTCAGATGCCCCAAGGAAGAGACAAGAAATTGTGCTGCAGGAAATACAGGCTGTTCCCCCTGAAAAGGTTAATAGGCTTTAGTAGCTAGCTGGAGAGCTGTTTCTCTGGCTGACGCAAATGAAGGAGGTGGTACCTTGTTCCCTCCTGTCTTGCCTCTGTGAGATAATGAGCTTGGGGGAACATTTGGCATACACTGTTCAAGGCAGCCACTGATTTTCTAATAATATGCCCAAGCTATTTCCTGATTTCCTAATAAACACTTCCCAGGGAAGGTGACTGGAGAAAGTTTATTCAGTCTCCTTGGAGGGACAATAAAACTGACCCCCTTTGGACTTTTTCCAGTATCTCCTTCTTCAAATGAGAGAAAGTACTGTTGACTTTTAGCCCCAGCACCACAGAGTGAGAGAGCTGGAATTAAGCTGAGGATGATTCCCACTATTAGAACTGGGTAGAAAAAGCCTCTCAAGCATCTAGCCCTTTCAGTGTCAGAGGCAGGATGCCAAACTATCTGGGTTCCTGATCTGTTCCAGTAGATACTACAACATTGTCAGAAACACTGCATAGCATAGAGAAGAGGGAAGCAGGACTGTGGCCAGAATGGCCCCAACTTACCTTCCTTTGTGGAACAGAGACTTTAATTACTCTTCTTCCCTCTGCACAGCAGGCAGTGATCAGCTGCTCAGGAAATAGTCTGTTTCTTCACTGAAGGAGAGCAGGAAGAATGAAATGTAGAGTCCTGGGTAAGGAAAGAGAAGGAGGAGAAGTGATTTATGCAGTATTATAAATAGGAAATAGATGCTCCCAGGGCTGAGAAGCAGTATTTGTTTGACCAGATAGTTCAGCAGAGCTTTCCTTCTCTAATCTTGGTCCTGGGACACTGTATCCTACAAGCTAGGGCTGATAGTAGAGCAGCCAACATTTTTGGGTGTACCACTGATTTGGGGTACCAAACACAACACAATTTAAAAATGAATTTCAGGAATTTATGAGAAATGAAAATCTCTGTAGAAATCAGTCCCCAGTTTTTCTCTAGCTGGATACCCAAAATCAGAGTTGTCACTTTGCACAGCCCACATTCTCCACTTTGGTACCAATAAGCATTCCAGTAACAAAAACTGTCTATGATGTATAGGTACCTCAGCTGAATGATCTGTAATGCCTCTTTCACTCAGATGATGGTAACATTGTCTTCAACCTTCTCTTTAGCCTGCATTGTCACCTTAATATTGTCACAACAAATCTCAGATCCGTTGACTTCCACCCCACAAAGATAGTTTGTGATAGTTAATTTCCCATAATCCTTTCCCATTGACCAGACAAAAAAATTAATGGGGGATGCTTTGCAAATTTCTGTCTCACGATTATATATTTATAAGTGAAAAAATCTTTGTTGCAGCTAAATATATTTCGCATTCCCCCTGTCACTTATTAATTATAATAACTTTTCTTCCAATCACACTGGACCAAACAGCAATGTCTGACCATGTGTAGGGGTGGAGGGTTGTTGGCACTGAGCTGAGAGTCCAGAGACCTAGTACTTTGCTACTTACTTACCATCTGACCAGTTATTAACAACTATAGCTTCAATTTTCTCATCTATGAAACAAGAATAATACCTCTTACCACCCATATAAAGAAAGCACTTAGCTATCTATGGATGGGAAGGCCATATACAGCTGCTTATTATTATCGCTATACTATTTTTATGCGTATGGTTGCACTCTGACAGCGCTCAAAGGCCTCAGTAAGCAAGACATAGTACACAAACAGGTCCTGCACCCAAGAGGTTGCATTCTACATCCACAATGAAAGGTTGGGAGAATAAAGATCTATCCCTCTAAATCTCTCTGCGTCTCTAAATCTCCGCTGCTCTTTACTGTTGAAAATAACATAGAGCAGTGGCAATTGCAGTGAAAACCTAATCAGGAAGTTGATTTGCAGTTCAGAGAAACAGCTCGTTAGCAAAATTGGATGGTGCATCCAGCTGCCTGTAATTTGACTGAACATTTATGAGATTCTATCTACAAACACGTTTCCCTTTAACAGTACCATACAGTATAAAACTCAACTTGCATCTTCTATGTGGAGACTGTGAGCTAATAAAATTACAGAACAAGTGGATTCATGATACAACTGAAGTGTTTACAGCTCAACAAGCAATGCATGTTACTCAACAACTAATAAAGATCTGTCTATTTTGGAGACAATACAGATTTTTTAATCATGCAGATAAAGACATTCTGATTACACAGTGTCTACAAAGGCACAATAGAGACTGAAGGGAATCCCACAGTTTTCTCTAGGCTTCATGTTCAGGACTGCAGGGCTTTCCATTTCAAGACTTCAGGAAGATTTATATCCTGGGACCTGGGCATATTTTGTGACAAGAGATGGTGCCAGAAGAAGGTTCCTTTTCAAATTATTTTAGAGGATCTTTCATATTTAGAATTAGTGTAAAAGTGATCTCAGACTCTTGGGATTGCCAAATTGCTATGGGGCAACCTACCCTTTTTCTGTCAATACTTTCCATGTATAGGATAAATACTGTGACTACAGTGAACTGAGAGCAAATGTATATAACTGTGCCACTGCCTTTTGTTATGTGGAACGTGGCAAATTTTCTTGTGCAGTTGGTTCTTTCTGCAGCTGAAGTAACAGAATTGCTCCTTCCACTACTGACTGAAACATTTAGAGCTTTAAAGTCAGTGCCTAATTCTGATACTCTTAGATGTACACATGGTGAACAGATCTCTAGGGAATGAGGTTTGTGGGAAAGAATCTTACACTGGCCACGAATGGATGCTCTAGATCAGGGATAGGTAACATTTTCTGGCTGCCCCTCAAGCCACATGCTACTGAAGCCCCACATCTGTAAGCTGGATTCAAAGCTCCCACCGGCCAGATCCAACCTGTGGGCTGTAGGTTGCCAACTCTAACTCTACATGACTTAATAGGGATTGTCCATCTGTGATTTCTACTAAATACAATAGGAGTTACAAGCGCTCAGAGGCACCTATGAAGATCAGGCCCTTTGTTTCTATGATACATTTCAAAATCCAAGGCTTGTTGTTATGCTACAGAGTGTTGCTACACAGGAACCCAAGGAGGGCTTCGGTGAGAAAGATCCTCATGTTGATTCCAATACGACGTACTACAGAGAAATTGTCTGTTCCAGTCACATTATGTTCTAATTTTACTTTGTCTCCAGTAGCTAATCAATAACACTCCATCAGGTTTGTCACGTTGAGGTAATCAATCCTGGCACAGATAATCAGCACTTGAATTGAGTTGCAGTGCAACTCATTAGGCCCTGGAAGTAAATTAACATCCCAGAATGTTTCAATCACAACTAGGAGCTGTGCTGAAGAAAGCTGATTATTAACTTATTTTTAGAAAGAAAACAGCTGTTTTTGGCAAAATGGAAATTCCCACAGGACACATCCATGGTGATGAATTTTCTGTCCAAAGCTTAGAAATTGTATTTTGTATTTTTCAGCTTTGTCTCTTAATCAATTTAGACTAGAAATGAGATAGAAGTTACTAATGAGCAGAGAAGTGAGATTCTGGAATAGCCACTCAATAACTCTGGTGGAGCCCAACCCCACAACTAGTATTAAAATGTAGATCTGGCAGGGCAAGTCTCAGTACAGTGATGTTGGTTTTACAGTGGAGCAGACCCCACTTCAGTGCTATGTTCCAATGCAGGTAAATAAGGTGTCTCAAACAGGTACTAATACAACTTTACCCCCTCTAAGGCAACCTCACAGGCCCTAAATGATGTAAAAGTACCCTTGAGTAGATGTGAATATAGATCTATGACATGAGAATGTCTTCATAGCACATGAAGCTGCTATGCTAATGAAGGCAGGCTCCATGAACACAGCCACTGTTTTTTTATTTGTTTTAGCTAATGAAACAGAATAAACCAAATGCTATCAGAAGTAAAAGTTTACATGCAGTGTAATGGGACAAGCACTGTTCCATTCATTTTTAGACTTAAGAGCTCAGTTTGAAATTATACAGGGTTTCCTCAGACGACCACACTGGTTTCCCTCCTGCAGTCTGGATGAGAGATCATTTCACAATTGGTGGGAAAAGGTTAGGGTTTTTGATCTGGCTTTTTGATCCAAGCTGGGGAGGCCCTTGGGCTCCACAGGCAGGACCTTGATTTCATGGCTCTTAGAGAGAAGGCAGGTATTCCCTGGAGCTATCTGGAGATAGCCCATCTACCTCAATGTCCTACGATGGCACCTGCCATCTTAAAGACCATGTCCATGCTACAGAATATAATGATGGCTGAACACAGTTGCCAACCATTGTGTTAAGTGTTGCAATACTGAGCACAGTATGTCTTGGTCTCTAGTCACCACTAAATGCTAGACTTAGTTTTAAGGATCCTGCCTTGCCTTTATACACCGTATCTCACCTTCTTTGTTCCATAGCCTCTAAACCTAGAGTTTGTGGGGTGGAGAGAGCTTCAGTAAATGTGGACACTTCTCATAATGATAAAGACAAAAACAAGATTCATATGAATATTCATATGACAGAAAGTTGGCTATTCATGCTAGTGGTATACTGTGATCATGTTTTGCTGCAGGTGCTATCACTTGATCTTTCCACTTCTGTTACCATTCAAGAGAAATGCCACAAAACCTTGTAACCATCATGCTGGGCACCTGTCAGAATGAATGCTGTCAAACAGCAACGCATGGTTGTGTCAGTCATTTTATTCATATGCATATTTTCACCATGCCTTCTTTTCTCATCCTCAAAGAAGCTGGGATTCTAAAACTGAATTGAAGTGGCCAGCACCAAGAAAATCAAATTATAAAATATATCCTTGGAGCATAACTCAGGACAGAACAAAATATGTCTGCTTCCATTGTAATGTTTGAGTGGCCTGGGAAAACATATTCACATGGAAGGCAGCGGTATCTGGGAAGAAGGGATTTTCCTTTGATCGATAGCTGAAAAAGATAAACAATATTGAACAGCAAAAATATGGGATAACTCCAGTAGAGCAAGTGTTGCTGGAGTGCACGATAAACAGGAAAATGGGATGAACAGAAGGAAGAAGGCTATAGCTCTGGCTATACTGATTTTAAAGTAGCTACTCACCAACCCAAGAATAGCACTGCCTTAGTCACGTCCTTTGGCTGGCATAGGTTTATTCTCCAACACAAAACTTGGGCAAATCATCAAGCCAAGCAGGTGCTGCCCACCCAAAGACCCCCATCCCTTCTATCCCCCTAATTCAGATACCATAAGAATCTGTCCTCTTCTCCTGCTTACTCTCCTTTTATAGAAAACACCTATTTACTTTCCAGCTAGCTTCAGCAATGGTACAGAGCTTACTGGCCCCTGGCCTATAAAGGGACAGGCCACCCTGTTACAACGCTCTTTCTGAGCTGTCCCAACATGGAGAAGCAGTTTGGGTGCAGAGGGTTAGGTATAAGCTTCACTTTTGGGAAATCTTTGGAGTCAATTCCCAGATGCACACATTTACTGTAAGAAAAGATAATGATCTGAAAACTGAGGAGGGAACAACACTGTATTTAATAAATGTGTTGAAGAGGAGTGGCCTGAAGTGTGCTAAACAAGAACAGGCACCTGTGCCCCATTTCAGATTATAATGTCAAGGCACAGCCCATAGAGCATCCTTCACTACTTGGTTGCTGGTAACTTGAGCTGATAATGAATGAAATAGATGCAGTTCACATCTACACAAGATGCTAA